TATTTTTTTTTAAAAAAAAAATGTTTTGTCACGGATGGGATCCGTGACAAATTCAAAATTTTGAATTTTTTGAAAATTTTAAAGCTCCCGCTCACTCTATTTTAAAATTTTCAAATTTTTTTCAAAATAGTTTGTCACGGATATGTCCGTGACAAAATTTAAAATTTGAATTTTCCGGACCGTTTCAAATACCCGCCCACTCTATTTTGAAAAACCTTTTTAAAATTTGTCACGGATAATTCCGTGACAAGTAATTATTTTTTTTTTTGAAAAATAAAAACATTTATTCACGGATGCGTCCGTGACAAATGAAAGCCGATGGGATTCCGGTGAAGTGTTTTGTCACGGACCGTGGCCGTGACAAATCCGTGACAAACAATCTCACGGATTAATTTCCGTGACAAAAACGTTATCACGCCCCTGGTGTCACGGATGGGATCCGTGACAAATCCGTGACAAAAAATCATTTGTCACGGATTTTTTGAACTACCGTCCGTGACAAAATCCGTGACAAACGACGTGTTTTTTTGTAGTGTTATTTTACAGGTGGTTAGCTCTCAGTCTCGGCCACGGGCGGATGGTTATTTGTGGCTCTTTTCTAGTTTTGTACCCTTGCTGAATGCTATTTTTATGAATTAAGCCTTCTTCGAGCAAAAAAAATAGTGTATGATTGTCCTAAATCTTTTGTAAATTGCATGATCAATTATTTCTTCATTCAATCTAGTATTTTGTGGAAATTCGTCGGCCTACATTTTTTTATGTCAGGACATCTTGATCGAAACCCCGTGCGGACAACACTATCAGAGGATATTTCCAGTGGAATTTTTGATGAACTTTTTTGAGCATGTTCCTCATAAAGTCTAGTTTATGCATACCAAATTTCAGATAAAAATTCAATCGGGAAGGCAGTTAAACAAATTCTTGAAACATATTGCGTTTTATATATGTAAAAAATATGCTGTAATAGAAGAACCGCCACTTGAAGTGACGGCTTTGTACTGTAAGAGAAGAGCCGTCACTTCAAGTGGCGGCTTTTGTACCGCAAGAGAAGAGCCGCCACTTGAAGTGGCGGCTTTTCATAACCACGGTTGACCCAGCAGTATTATGAGAATTATTTTTAACTCAGCTGTATTTCGGAAATTATTTATTTACTCAGCATTATTCCAAGAAAATACTCCGCACAAAATTACATTTTAATTTCATTTGGAGCAATTTCTCTTAATATAAAACCATTGGCAACTGCCAAATGCAAGATGTGTAACGCATATTCACATTATTGTACGTATACACTTCAAAATTCAAATGACCATTCTTTTGGCGTATAATGAATATTACTCCGTGTATTCAAATGAGAATCTAGAACAGAATGAGCTGTCAAATAAAGTATGAACACGATAGAATGAAAATGTTCAAATATTAAGGTTAAATAAATGGGACACCCAGTGACCAGTGTTAATGGACTTTTGGAGCTTCAGAATTTGGTGATTTGGCCCACTTGGTAATTAATTAATCGATACTAATTAAAAAGGCACAGTCATTTATTTCCACGTTGTTAACACAGAAAAAGCTTTCCATAGCGGAAAGTGCAGATAGAAATCACGTGCGAGCTAACTAAATTAGTAAGGTGACAACTCCGGTACCCTTCTAAAAAATGGGGTACCGTACCTACCATTCATTTGATTGAATCACACCACTTTATTATTTTTAATTTAGATTTAAATAATTCAACTGCTACATTTTCATTGGTCCATGTGGACAAAGGTATGGTACCTTGTGGGTACCGTAGAATCTACCAATTAGTAAACCAGTTTTTCCCGGAAGTTACGAGTAATATTTTTTCTAAAAAAATTATTGGAGAATCAAAAGAGAATATTAGAGATTAGGGATGTTTTTACTTGAACTGCAATTTGCTGGTTTGGTCTTGTCTGGTCTATCTAAGTCTGATTCGATCTGAGCTAGTTGGGTATGGTCTGGTAAATGTCTGGTTTCTTTGTACTTTATAACTACGAAAGTTTGGTCTGGTCTGGTCAAGTCTGATCTATTTAACTCTGGTATGATCTGGTCTGACCTGTACAAACATCTCAGGTCAAAATTACAAATTCAATTTTGTATTTTTAAAATTAATCATTTACCTCTCAGAATTTTATTATTCACACTATTTACCACTCTGGTCAATATTAAACACATTTAACTTTATGTGTTGTTAAATGTAGTCAAAGTTTTCTAAAATATATGATTTTATAAGTCAATATAATCTATCACCATGATTACAAATCATGCATTTTTAACAAAAAAATTGACTTTTTTGAAAAAAGTGTTGGAAATATGATGGAAAAATGTGTGTGTGTGTGTGTATATATATATATATATATATATATATATATATATATATATATATGATCAGGGGTCTCATTTATGAGTCCTGAGAATAAATATATATAAATATGATTCGGAAATGTCTTATTATACATCAAAGTACAACTTTCATGATTGGATTATAATTAACAAAATAATTCATAGTTGTAAAGGTGGTAAAGTGATGTTTTAATATTATGAATTCTTGTCGCTTATACAATACAAGCTACCGCTATAAGTTATTTTATATGATAAGGAACATCGTTCAAGTATCATTTAAAATATATTGAGCGATTGCTTGCCTTTTGACAAAAATTGTGACTAGCGGAATCTGGACAGTTTCGTTTTATATTATAAAATAAAATGTAGCAGCAAAGGTGTTCAATTTTGAATTGAAATGAGCTGTTTGGTCCTGGCCGTTATATCCATACATAAATGGGGGTTAATGCTTTGGATGAGCATTAAGATCACATTTCCGTTTCATGCTTTTGATTAACTTCAAAATTCTGATTTCCAAAGTGTTTAAGTAGCACATGTGAAACCTCCACAAGAAGCAGGATGATCGGTGTGAGTTACTGCTATTGAACAACAATACAAAGCTTCTCCATTTTTCCTTTTCTTTTCTCTCCACTACCAAAGAAAAGTGTACCTTTACTCCTAAAAGCTCTCCCGTTTTCTTTTCATATGCCTTGAGAGAACAATTCGTATTTTTACATCCGTAGTTCATAATTCTTTCTCGGACTCATATCTAAATATTGACAAGTTGGGCAACGGTCAAAGGTTTCAATCAAGGTAGCTACGAGATTGAAACGTGATAGGGTTATCCTGGGAGCGAGCTAGCCAGACCCGTCCGAATAGCTATCGGTATACGAGGGCTAGCCAGTCCGTCTTAACGGGCGATCCTGCAATAAATTTTCTTACCTTACTATTTATTCATTTTCCATTTATTCTAATTATTATTATTATTTTCTTTTTCTTGCATTTGGCGGTTTGTCTGGTGATTTGGTTTAAACTCGGGATTCTTATCTGGTTAAACTCACACTTTTAATATCAATTTTCTAACAAAAAGTAAATAGTACATTGCGAAAAGGAAATAAAAGAAAGAAAACGAAACAATAAATTGAAAGAAAAACCTGAGACTAGACCCAAGAGAAACCTCTGGGGGAATTTTAGTTTAGTGTTTTAAGATTTTCTGTATATTTTGATTTGAGTGTTAAAGTTATCTGTTGACAGACAATTTTCTGAGGTAAGAATGTCGGATTCGCTGCAAATCGCTCTGTTCAATTTAGATTTCACAATTTCTGCCTGAGTTGAGATAGGATGACGACAATCGCTTTCGGTTGATATTCCTCATGATCAAGAAGTGTTTAGAATTTTAATAACACATATTTTAAAAAAATCATCTTTGATGTATGTCATGCATATTACTCTTGAGTTTTCTTTCTTAACTACTCTCATTAATATTTGTTCCACATGTAGTTAAGTAGAAAAATAATGATTATCAACGATAATTTATAATTATGATAATAAATTGTGTTTAAATTTACCTTTTAAAAATAAGGGATATTTAAGAAATATTGATGTGATGGGGGAAACTGTGAGAATGATAAAAATGGGGGGGGGGGGGGGGGGGGGGTAATTAATCGATTTTTGAAAATTCAAGGTTGCATTAATGATTATGGCATAATGTCTAGGGTGTAATATGAATTTTATCTTTATAAAATTATGATTAATAGTTACTATAGTATAGTCTCGTAGTCATTTAAGTGTAAAAATTGAACATATATTACTATAACTAAGTTACGATTATAGTCAACTATGCTTAGGATGTCACTTTTTTGTAAACAACACTTATTTTGTTCATATATATATATATATATATATATATATATATATATATATGTAATTATTTCATAAAAGTACTTAAAAAAGAATTTTGGAACCCATGAATATTTACCTTTTAAAAGTACCTAAAAAGATTTTAATTCGGCAACCCTACCCATTAGGTGCGGGTTCAATCATATTTAACCCATGAATATTTTTAAAAATCAAATACCCGATTAAATAGGGTAGGGTAGGGTTGGGTCGGGCAGGTTATGCGGGTTCGGGTTATTCTTGTGCAGCCCTACATGCTACACCTCTTTCCCATGAGTTCGTATACCGCATGGGCGTAGATGGGGGCAACCCTGACCCCGCCCAGTCCAAATTTAAAAAATGTCTATTTTTTTAGTGTAAAAAAGTCGTGTAAAGTTTTTTCCAAAAAATATTCTTTGCACCGATCCAGTCCGGCTCAATGCCCTGTCTTCGCCCTTGATATACCATACACCCGGTTGTACGTTTCTCATCGTACAATCAGACATTTTATCTTATACCTAATGAGTATAACTTTAATAGAAATGATGAGCATTAATATTAAATCACTATTTTGATAGGACAATTGAAAATAGAAGTGTGCAATAGAGTATTATGATTTACACGCGATATATATGCTACAAATTAGCTTATTTATTTAACTATATTATCATTGTATTGTCATCAAAAATATTTATTGTGCTAATTAATTTTATAATTTAATACTAATACTCACTTCATTTAAACTATATACTCATTAATCATAAACTAAAATATCTGGTTGTACCGTGTGCATGATACAACCGATTGTACCATATAATTTACGCTTTCTCATCGGCTTATGCCTCCATTGACAATTAGTAGGACAATATTTCTCAAGAGGATTACAAGTTTCAAAAAATAAAAAATATAGGAAAAATTGTCAAATAAATCTCCCTACTATTACGAAAATGCCAATTAAGGGCATCAACTCAAATATCACTCCATTAAACCCATAAACACGCACAAAAAATTCAAAGTGGCTTTTTAGCCTGTAAAGTCCCGATTGTAGGTAAACTTGATGACGTGGATATGATGTGGCATTCATTTTTTTTATTTTCTCCTTTTTCTTTTTGCTTTTTTTCCTTTTCTTTCTTTTCTTTCTCTCTTTCTTCCCGAGCCCTTTTCTTCTCCCCGACTCCCCATCGATCTCCCTGCGCCTTTCATTCTTTCCCTTTCTTTCTTTCATTATTTATTTTACAATCACTATCGATCTCCTTCTGAATGCCGCTGCCTGGACGCCACCGCTGCTATCCCTTAGTTCATCCGCCTGGGAGCTGAGCCGCGGCAAAGACCGCTCCGGTCATCTTCTCCGACCGAATTCTGGCAAAGAGAGCGGCGGTTGTTTTCACTGAACGTTGTCATCCTTTCTTACCAATGTTCCATCTCATGAAGCGCTGATCTTCTCCATCGATTCCCACCAATTTGTTATTTTATTTGTTCTTATTTTTCTTCATTTCTTGTGTATCCATTGATGGGATGGCCATGTCAAAATCCAAAATCAAAGTAAAGTGAGAAATATGGGAGCGTGGGGTTGTACATCAAACAACCATGCTTGATGTACACACTTTATACACACCATGTTTGTGAAGCTTTTTTTTTGTCTGTGAATCCGGTTCACAGACAATATTTTGTTTGTGCAAAACATTGTTTATGAATTGATGTTCACAGACACAAAAAAAGCTTTCACAGACATAGGTGTGTACAAAAGTGTGTATAAGAGTGTGTACAAACATCATTTTTGAAAGACACTTTTTTGTCTGTGATTTCCGTTCTCAGACAAAATATGTGAACGAGATTCAAAGATAAAAAAGACTTCAAAGAAATGATTGGTAAAAATTGGTATTATAGTGAGTACAACAACAATAATTTTTGGAAGAATTATGGAATTTACGGCGAGTGGTGGCTCAACTATGAACACGAATTGATTCAAAGATGTCCTACCATGTGTCCATCTCGATATCATTCTCATCAGTCTCACAAGTACTCCGGCATCCACTATAATGTTATCCAAGTTGATCATGATCGACCATCAATGTTGATTATATATTTATTATTTTTTTATTAATAAATTAGTTTCGTTTCAAAAGAGAAAATGAGAACGTAACCAATATGCCTATTTCTATATACTACATATATAATACGAGTATATAATTGTGAGGTGTTTGGTTAGCATTGTATTATTCATTTTTGGTTGATTTGACTACTTTTTAGCCTTTTGATGACCAAATCATTCCACTAATTAGAGTATTTCGTTAAATGACTTTTTTATTTGGCTTTTTGCTTCAAACAATCAATATATTGAACGCCAATAACTATAGCTTTTAGGTGCGGCTTTTCTTGTTAGTGTTTTATATTCCTATTCTACCCTTATGCGTACGTATTCTCTTGAATCTCTTCCGAAAAAATGTCCCCTCTTGTTGGTTGTGAATTGTGATGGTTAAAATCAAAGTGTTTTGAAAGCCTCCCAATTCTGGACAACCATTAGTGACTAAAAATATTTTGCATTTGGCATTTGTTTATCAAACAGGACATGTTTGACACAATTAGCTGAAGATAGTTTTAAGAGTTTTTTTTGTAACGGTTAACTTTTAGTGACTGAAAATTTCTTAAAATAAACAATGTGGTAATTGTTTGATAAAAAATTGTATGTTTGATTTAGTTCTGTTTGACATACAAGCCATTCGGATCAATTAATTCTAAAAGCTACAAACTTTTTTTCTCATATATAAGCTAATCAATGTAGCATCTCAACAGGACCCACCCAGAGCAGGTGCACCCAACCCCTTTGCACAGGGCCCAAAATTTTGGAAGGCCCAAAAACAAATTAGTACTCCCTCCGTCTCATAGAAAATTTATCACTTTTCTTTTTAGGACGTCCCATATAAATGTTTTCATTTACATTTTAGGAAAAAATTGACAATCTTAAATGACAATTAATCATTAAATATTAAAAACAATACATTTATAACACCACAATTATCAATAATAACCTCATTAAGTTATATACCACTCAAAATTATTTCTCAAAATATACTCGAACTATCTTATTTAATTATTGTCTAAATAAACGTATCGTTTTACAATGAAGACCTTTCAACGGGACAAAAGTAGTAGTACTATAAATCAGCCCAGGTCTTTTGATTTGAACTGCGAACAGGAAAACCAAAGCGAACTAGCGAAGTTTGAATTGAGGAGTGCGGACGAGTGGAAGACGAGCTTTGATGCCCCCAGCCTCCTGGACCACGAGCCCACATTTGTCCGCAGGAGTGCACGACACTCTACCAGTCCTGCTGTTCGACAGTCCACTTGCCCAGTGCCGTAAGCACTATGATTTTCTGATTTCTTTGATTCTTTGAATTGCAATTAATGAAATGCGAAATTAGTTTTTTTTTTAAAAAAGAAGACAAAATTGTTATTAATAATGAGAATAACAAGAGACATAACAATACAATAGCTCAAGACTACACTGGGCTGAGACATAGAATTGACTAGCCTCTGAGGACTTTTCAAATTTGCTAACCCCACATAATGGTAGTCTAATTTAACAGCATCACTGAATTTGCTACTAAAATGGGAGATAACTAAACAAGAACTCTTTCAATGAAAATAACAAAATACTTCAAGCGTCCCAAATTTACTAGTCACCAGGAAGGGAGAAGAGGATAGGTTTGTCCATCCACCTTCAAAGGATGCATCCCGATTTTATCAGTCACTAGGAAGGGAGAAGATGTTTGAACAGTCACCTCCAAAGGAATCATCTCGTTTATTGATCGGACTAAACTTGCAAGTGTACGTACAAGTGCTGATATAGTGATAAATTCCGGTAAAATACCAGGTCGAATCCACAAGGAAGCGTTGTTTAATTTAAGCCCGAGAGTAGAAAACTTTAAATATAGAAATGAGTAAAGAGATAGGATTTGAGTTATATTTGGTATGAAAGCAATGACTTTAGTTCTCACTTTGATTTCGGGAATATAACTTTAAATAGATTGAATTTAAAACTATTGAGAACAACAACTAAGGTTTCAGGAATCGCCTAAACACTTTTAATTAGTATCGATTCAAGTTCTTTGCCAATAATTATGAATACGATGTCACTAATATATTCTCTACTCCGGTTAAGGTAGTGGGAGCGTGTTTTTCGTTACGTGTAAATCCCGTTATGGCTTACATTCATTTACCGAAAACCCCGTTGAATATCAAGACATCACATCCAAATCATATGTGACCATATATATATATATATATATATATATATATATATATATATATATATATATATATATATATATATATATATATATATATATATATATATATATATATATATATATATATATATATATATATATATATATAGGGGAGGGTTCAAATACAAAGAGGTCTTCCCATGCAAAGTGAGAATTAATCTCGTGCATTCATTTTGAGATCTAATGGCTCAAAATGAGCCAAAAGTGAACTAAATTTGATCAAAAACGTGGTGGCAATTTCGTAATTAAAACGAAGTTTTTTGCCATCGCGAAAAAGTGCAACAGAAACACGCAAAAGTGCAACGCGGTGAAGAAAAAGTGCAATTGTTCGCACTTTGCACGGGAGAACCTCTTTTTATTTGATCTCTTATATATATATGTGTATATATATATATGTATATATATATATATATGTATATATATATATATGTATATATATATATATATATATATAGGGGTGAGTTCTAATACAAAGGGGTCTTCCCATGAAAAGTGAGAAGTGATCTAAGCCCTTGATCACTTCAAAATGAATGGAGTGAATCAAAACTCACGGTAAACCAAAATGTGTAATACATAATAGTAAAAGTGCATATGCCATATCTAAGAGTGCATATTCACCTCCTAAAAAATAACACAAACGATTTCTATACTTGTTGTTTTCCACCCCAAAAATTGATGCACTTTTGTGTTACTCCAATGCACTTTTTCTCCATACTCATGCACATTTGTCATTTGTACTATTGGCACCGAATTTTTTAATATTACACTATTGGCACCGAATTTTCCACTCTAAAATTGATCTGATACATTCATTTTCTCATTTTAACGGCTAAGATTACTTCTCATTTTTCATATAAGTAGTACTTTGTATTTGAACCTCCCTCTCTCTCTCTCTCTCTCTCTCTCTCTCTCTCTCTCTCTCTCTCTATATATATATATATATATATATATATATATATATATATATATATATATATAGGGGGGGGGGGGGGGGGGAGATCCCATGCAAACCAAGCTTCCGGTGCAAACCTACAAACCAACAACATCCGTTGGATTTAAAATGTGAACGGTTGATGCATGTGGGATGCATTATTGAAACGCTGCACTCAGCCGTATGTGATAAAAACAGATAAGATGATTTGGTTAATTAAAAGGTCATAGAGGTAATTTAATAAAACAAAAACAAAGCCGTCCCATTATATGATGATGTACTCTAGCAACATGCGTTTTTTTATTTAGGAAGGTTTGAGATATGAAATCATTGATTTTACTCACACCTCTTATTTAATTAACCGTCAATTAATAACCTTCCACTTTTGAATGATGAATTCTAATTAAAGAAGAAAGATATTACTTCATAATTAACTTTCTATTTTTTAATAATAAAAAAGGTACGTTGGAGAGGTCTAAATTGTAGAAGTTAATTTATAGAATGAAATGATTCATAATAAATTATCCATTTTGAAGCACAACGTATTTGCTTGAAGTGCATAATAAGGCTATGTGATACGCATATTAAGGTTATATGATGTGCATATTAATGTCTATGTGATATGCATATTAAAATTGCAAGATGTGCATTATACATTCATAATATCTACATAACTTATATTAGAAGTATATAGCTATAAAATATGTCGACGTTCATTTTAGGATTTTATATGTTGCATTTATCATCATGACATGTGCATTTTAAAAGTTCATACATTGCACTTAAGTAAGATGATATGTGCTCTTTAATAGTTCATACTGCATCTTATCGTTATGACATTTGCAATTTAGTTCACATGTTGCATTTTATTATTATGACATGTGCATTTTGGAAGTTCGTATATTGCACTTTAGTAAGATGACAAGTGCACTTTAATACTCTCTATGTACCCCTATAATTGTCTCATTTTATATAATATGTGCATTTTAGAAGTTCATAGTGCATCTTCCAGTTATGACATTTGCATGTTAATAGTTTATATGTTGCATGATTTTATCATTATGACACGTGCATTTTACAAATTCATGTATTGCATTTTAGTAGTAAGATTCCATGTGCACCGTATGAGACAATTTGCTGCATCTTATCGTTATGACATTTGCATTGTATACTCAATTGACATCCATACAAATTTCATGATGTCACATTATGCATAATATAAGAGAAACATGTTTAACGGTATATTAGTAGAAGTGCATAATATAAGAAAAACATGTCACATTATATGAATTTGCATTTTATCATTATGACATGTGCATTTTAGAAGTTTGTGTATTGAAATTTACTAAGATGATATGTGCACTTTAATATTTCATACTGCATCTTATCATTATGATATGTGCATCTTAGAAGTTCTTATACTGCACTTTAGTAAGATTAAAAGTGCACCTTAATAAGATGACATGTGCATTTTAAAAGTTCGTATCATGCATCTTATCATTATGATATCTGCACTCCATATTCAAATGACATGGATACACAATTCAAGGGATTACAAAATGCATAATATATGAGTACCATGTTCTAAATAGTAAAAAAAAGAATTCACATGACTACCTCATTATTCTATTATATTGATATGACAAAGAAGTGATTTGAGAAGGAGATAACCATGTGAAGAATTTATTAAAAAGAGATCACTAAAATCACAACAGATTTTAGTGAAAACCAAAACAAAAGACCATTTAGGGCAAAATAATTCATATGAAAACCAAAACAAAAGAATTTAAAAAATTCGGCATATCAATTCAACTTTATGCCGAAATCCATGGCATTTGAGAACTTATGTTCTCCCTGTGTGCAGAATCCATGGCATTCAAATAGAAAAACACTAATCATATTGTCTTAAAT